TTCTATAATAAACCGTTCACAAGGCTCAATATTCATAGTCCAAAGTCACAAGTCAACAACCAACATGTATCACGTAAATCAAGCTCAATGTCAAGTAGATCGATCACAGGAAACTAGTACATCAATCAGAAGTAACAAGTAAGTCACACACAAGCATATAAATGCATCAAATCACAAGAATCAATCTCTTGCCAAAACCATTTCCCATCTGCATACTATCACTATCCAATACCAGTTCACATCGACTTTATATCAAATCACTAGGCAGAACTATTTCCCATCGAATTTATATCAAATCATTAGCTGGAACTATTTTCCATCGGTTTTATAACAATTACTAGCCAGAACCATTTCCCATCGGCTTAATATCTATCATCGGTAAAGACCTCAACATCATAACAATCTCATGTCTCATCACAACGTTCAACAATCAATGCACTCAAGCAATATCACACCATCCGAACAAACAACAAGTCATGTAATTTAACTCCACATTCAAGCCATCAAGGCACTTAATCACATCAATCAAATAGGATCACAACAAGGCAATTCACAGATTGTCGTTATCATCACGAAGCCTTTTCATTTATCCCTTCATTATTTATTAACATTAATCAAGTGGAGCAATAAGAACCTTGACCTGAATCCTGATTACTCCCTAACGCACATACAATGAAGAAAAGTAGACCATTCTACTAGATTACAAAACTTAAGAGATCATTTGCCTTAAATCAATCAAATATCACCCTAAGAGTTGAGTCTTCCCCTTCCGAATCAATTCCAAAGCCACACAATCTATAACAATCAAGTATTCACAATCACTCATCAGAGACAACAATTCCCACACCAATTATATAGAGAAATGGGTCAATCAACTCATAACTCAATTTCAAAATGGGGGTTAAAATCGAGAAAACAATACTTGAAAATGATGTTTAAGGGTATATGAACTCATTAGTGAAAACCATTTCGATAAAGAGATCAAAACCACTTCAAAATCACTATTTTAGATCAAAACTCAAGTTCTTGCAAAACCTTGTCATTTTTCAATTCAAATCCCAAACTATGATGTTAGAATCCATAAATAAATAAAGGGAAATAAAGTTTTAGGATTTTAAAAGCTTACCCAAACGATTTAGCACAAGAAAATCTTTCACAAATCATCTCCAAGGGTTCCCAAGCTCATAAATGGAAAATGGGGCATAAACCTAAAAAATGGCAGGCGAAAATCGTCCCAGGTGTCGCTTAAGTGACCAGGGGTTCGCTTAGCTAAAAGCCCATGTCTCGCTTAAGCGATCTGACCTTCGTTAATGCAGAGGTAGCTTAAGCGGAAGTTCTTCGCAAATTCGAAGGTCTACAAGGTTGACGCTTCACAAAAGCGGCCCAAACCTCGCTAAAGAGAGTCCCGCAAAAGCGAGCCATCTCTCGCGAAAGCGGAGTGAACCAGAACAGAGACATCAAAAAATTAGCCAACACTCTAAACCTCAAAAGGACCCTCGGGATTCGTTCGGAACCCCATACACACAACCACATATGCAGATCAATTATGTTCAACGTTCCGGACTCAATGGAACCGTCAAAATAAAAATCTGAGATCTCTTTGATCCGACATTTGTGAAAACCATAAGAAACTAACTCACGCCTAAAAACGCTAAAACAAACTCGAGACTTCTCAAAAATCAACCAAGACCGCACCCGGCCTAAAATTATCCCCCAAATCTAATGGAATTCTCATAATTCCAATCCTAGTATTCGAACCTTGAATATTAACTAAATTCAACCCAAAGGCTAAAATTCCACAATTTCACAACTTAGGATCTCAAATCCTCAAAAAAGACTCAGAAACTGAAACAAACAACTTTCATAGCCAAAATTTCACATTTCGGGACTGATGGAATGGACTGAATTCCATTCTGGCACTTGAAACTCCAAAAGACATCAAAAATCACTTTCTTAATAACACAACCTTTCAAACTCAAAACTTGCCAAATTCTCAACTTTTAACTCAAAGTTCGAAAGTAATTTTTTCAAACTCAAACATAAAAGACTCGGGATCGATCTCGGGAGGAGAAAAATGATAAATTTATAAAACTTTCCAAAAATTACCGACTGGGTCATTACATCTTTAGCCTTTGCCATTAATACTCCATTGGAAAAAGTAATCACAAAGATCATTAAGGAAAAAACAAAGATCTTTTTAGAAATCCGGGAATAGAACTTGAGATTAAGGTGTAAAAATGACGAAGACATGATAAATAAAATTATCGTATTTATGAGATTAGGGTTATACGTACAATTAATTGTTTTAAAAAGTATAACAATTTTGTATACTTTTATAAATAAAAAGTTAGAATTCGTGGAATAAACAAAAAAAACATCAATAATCCATATTTAGAGTATGAAACTACGTTGATATGAATTAGGGGATAATTATACTTATATTTCTAGAGTAATGTACAAATTCTATTAGTCCGTCGTCATATCATGAACTTAATATCTCATGTAATAATGTAGAGGTAAAGAACTAACATATAATTTTCTGAGTATGAAATGCGAGATGATACTTGTAGAAATCATGTCAGAATAACAATTAATTAAATTTTATATTTATAATTAATTGTTTAATTATTTGTACGTATAACCTTCAATATCTTATCTCGTTTTATGAAATAGACAATAGAACATCGTAAAGTACTGTACAAAGCAAGTTCTATCAAGTCTTTTACGTTCGATCTTGAATGAATGTCAAGTGTAGTGATCATACCGTATGCAGTGACATGTAAAAGATAATTCATCGAAGTATGAAATATGTTGATTATATACTCGTCGAGTAGTTTAACAAATCAAGTCTTATATATTAATGTTTCAGTTATGAAATATATTATCTATTAAAGAAATACCGATGATCAATTTGAGGAGATTTATATATTAAATTTGATATTGATAAACTTCTGTTGATCGATAAAATTAAATTTATATAATTAAGAGGTGTGTGTGTGTATATATATATATATATTATTGACACCTAATTTTGACCGACATATTCGATTAAATACGTATTTTTTAAAAATAATACGAGTTTTAAAATCTCAATCGATTTTGTCTAAAATTATGTATTAGAGTATCGCTAATTTACAAAATTATCAATTATTATTAGTAAATTATTATTATTATTATTATTAAATTATTATATTTATCGATAGTTAAACTCGAAATAACTACTTTATTTAAATGTTTTTAAATTTAGGTGTGCGTAATTTATATGAAAATACTTAATATATGTAATATTTTCTTAATTGACTAACATTTCCTTAATCTCCCCTTAAATCATTTAAATTATAACCTCTTTTGTTCAATTTGTTTAATTCATAGCCCTCTTCCTATCCAATTCTATTTCAACTCCAGCCTTTCATATTCAATTTCATGTCAATTATGGCCATTTGCTTATTTTAATTATTATAACCTTTCAACACTTTTCAATTATAGCCTATCTGATTCAATTCAATTCTCAAAAGCCCCATCCTTTAATCTCAGCCATTCGTTCATCCAAATCAACTACGATCAAATCTTGATCGTTCATATCATTCAAACCAAAGGCTGAGATCAGATCTTCATTCTTATCTATTTTAAACCAAAAAAAACAAAGGCAAAAGGATCTGGTAGACCCTTATACTTGACTCGAATTGTAAAGTGGACCCTTCTACTTCACAAAGTTTCAACTGGACACTTCAACTCAAACAAACAGAAAATTTTAAGTCCCTTTGACCATTGACCAGCCTTAGGTGGCATTAATTTAGCTGGGTTGGAAAAATGTGTGTTACACACGCGAAACATGAGCGTGAATTGAATTAAAAAGTTAAGAAAATTAAATAAAAAGAAAAAATAAATTTACCTACTTTAAAAAAAAGGCAAAAAAAGAAAAAGAAAATCCCTTTCCTCTTCAAACCCACCCACCCACTTTTTTGGAAAATAGTAGATCTCTCAACTGTTATATCCATATCCTCTCTATTATCGATTATTTTTTCTTGAAATAGTATTTTTCCTCACTTTTCAAATGAAAACAACACGTTCATCAAAAATCCAAAACAAAAATAATTGGAAACGAAAGAAAAAAATCTTCTCCAAATTGAAAGCTCAAAACGAAATTGAAGAAGGATTTTTGCTACTGCTACTACTTGCTTCTTTTTATCTCTTTAGAAGCAAAACTTCTAAAAAAATAAAAAACAAATTTTCATCTATCTTTTAAATCATAGATACAATTTTGAAATTTTCATATTTCTTGATCTTTCTTTTTTCAAGTTTGAATTTTTCTTTCAATTTCAAGCTTTTTGGTGTCAAGTTTAGTTGCTTTCTTCTAATATCAATTTTGATGAAATTGTAAGCTCAAATGGGGCTGTCAAATGTTAATGAACTTTCTTTTGGATTAGGGTTCTTGAGAACAAAGGGAAAAATATTTTTTAAAAGTAATTATTTGTTTAATAAAATAAATATATAAAAATAGCATTGTGACAATTAAATTAATGAGATGGATATGACATGGCTTTTGTTTTTGACATGGATATGATGTGTCATCCATGTCAGATCGAGTGAGGAACACCGACTTACATAAGAATTTAAAATTTCTATTTTGTTTGAGTTGAAGTGTCTGATTGAAACTTTAGAGAGTAGAACGGTTCAGTTTACGATCTGAATACCATTTTGCCAAAAACAAAACCCTAAGCCATCCATCTTTCTTCATCTTCCTCCATCTCCTCCTCCGCTATCTGTCCCTCTCCTCTATTCTCCTAGCAGCGAACGGCGAAGCAGCGAACGGCGCCGGCCAGCGAACAGCCGCGAAAACCAGCCGGCGACCGGGCGCCGCCTCCGATCCGTTCTTCTCGCCAGCAAGCGAAGGCCGCGCCGGCCAGAAGCAGCGCGAGGACAGCTCCGACAGGCGAGCCTCTTTCTCTCCTCCTCCGCTCCAGTGAGGACGACAACAACAAACATCAGCTCCAGCTTCTCTGACCAGCGAGCAGCCAACTCTGGCGAAGGCAAGGTAATCACCGGCGAACCCCATCGAAGACGCATCTCCATTCCTCTCCTCTTCGGAGAAGTTCTAGTAATCCAGGTATTTGATTAATCATCATACATACATAACAGTACTTAAAAGCTAAATTGAAGTTTACATGGTCCAACAATTTCTCGAACACGTCTGTAAATAACTCTAATATTAGAACTCTAAAACTATTCAAATTTATTTAAGCTCTAGTTATATGATACTAGCAAAACTAGATAATCAAACTTGGGATGGAAGTACAATGTCCGTGAATGTAGGTTTATTAGGAGTCTAGACTCTCGAGAAAAATTAACTCTTGACTCACTTGAGCCTTTATCTCAAAATGAAACTGACACTCTGAAACAATAGAGTTCATTCCAACAATGTTTGTATGGAAACAAGAAGACATACTGATTCCCATGTAATTTGTGACATTCATCGGTCATCTTACCCAAGAGTCAGTTGTATGGAAGTTAGTGAGCACTCTTCTGCATTTATTTTACGTAAAGACCGTCTTTGTTTGAAAGATATACAAACACACCACTGGATAAACAAACAGGAAACCTTAGAATTAACAAGTGGAGCTTAGGTATAAATAGCCATGTCCTATTGGAGAGCCATTCAAGTCAACAAGGCAGAAGCAAGAACAGTCAGTCACTGCTGCCAATATGTATGCACATTTGAAAATAGAAAGGCTGCATGAAGTAGTAGCATCAAGTCAAACCATTTTACCTTTGAAGTATGGAAACCACTAACATGCACACATAGATAAGGCCTCAACTTTTGACCTCCTCGAACACACAACATTTCAAAAACTAATTTCAGCATGCTCCCATAAAAAAGAGACCTTTAATCAATAAGACAGTATTAGTTATCTATAATGTGTTCAAATTTCTGAAGTTCAAGTACAATTGTTTTCTATAATGTGTTTGTGTCCATCTAGTATTGATACTTAACTTTAATTTTGTGATAATTTGTTTGTGTCCATCAAGAGTTGGCTTAGCGTTAAGTTAGGTGATAATGTATTTGCTTAGTATAAGTACCAACTTGATCCTATTGATGACAAAATTGATTTTCTTGCAAGATCAATTTGTGTCCATCTATTGTTGACACCAGTGTTGTGAAAGGCGCTCGCCTTTCACCTATTTGCCTCGAGGCGAGGCGAGTTGAAAATGGCGACCTTTTGTGACAAGGCTGGCGTCGCCTTTTTTTTTTAAGGTCTGATTTATAATTAAAAGCCAAATTAGGTTTTTTTTTGGGGTATTTTTGCAAACATTCCACATTTGTGATTGCCTCCTCTTCTCCTCAATCGCGAACTCTTCGTGTTTGCCTCCTTTTTGCAAACACCGACTTCACGACCTTCTTCTTCAACTGACTTCGCGACTACTGCTCCTTCACCACTTCGTGACTACTGCCAGGTGCGTTTCTTCTTCTTCTTCAGTTCTTCTCTTCTTCTTCTTCTTCTTCTTCTCTTCTTTTCTTCTTCTTCTTCTTCACTACTCTGTTTTTCACTCACTATTGTGCTCTGTTTTCAGTGTGGTAGTGAACAGGGTTGTTCACTCACTCAGTGCTTTGTTCACTATTAGTTTTTAAATTTAAATATTTACTAATATAAGTTATTGCTATTAAGATTTTGGATATTTATATGTGCAATTAAAAAAATTATTTTTTGGTATTAATTGGCGCCTTAATTCAAAAAGGCGAGCGCCTCGCTGCTCGCCTCGCCTCATGGTGAGGCAGGCCCTTGTCGCCTTTTGTCGCCTCTCGCCGTCCAAAACACTGGTTGACACTTAGCTTTAAATTTAGAAATAATATATCTATTAAGCATAAGTACCAACACTAGTTGATCCTATTGATAACAAAATTGATTTTCTTGCAAGATCGATTTGTGTCCATCTAGTGTTGTTACTAAGCATTAATTTAGGAATAATGTGTTTGTTAAGCATAAATACCAACACTAGTTGATCCTATTGATGACAAAATTGATTTTCTTGCAAGATCGATTTGTGTCCATCTAGTGTTGATAATAAGCTTTAATTTCGGAATAATGTGTTTGTTAAACATAAGTACCCAACACTAGTTGATCCTATTGATGACAAAATTGATTTTCTTGCAAGATCAATTTGTGTCCATCTAGTGTTGACACTTAGCTTTAAATTTAGAAATAATATATTTGTTAAACATAAGTACCAACACTAGATGATCCTATTGATGACAAAATTGATTTTCTTGCAAAATTGATTTGTGTCCATCTAGTGTTGATACGAAAGCTTTAATTTAGGAATAATGTGTTTGTTAAGCATAAGTACCAACACTAGTTGATCCTATTGATGACAAAATTGATTTTCTTGCAAGATCGATTTGTGTCCATCTAGTGTTGATATTAAGCTTTAATTTTGGAATAATGTGTTTGTTGAAATTATTTATAATAATATCAATTCAAAACCAAATCTTAAACTAAAATAATTGTTTTTTTTAAAAAAAAAAAAGTTAAAGAGAGAGAGGGAGACATAAGAAAAAGAGAAGAAAGGATGGAGAGAGAAAGATGGACTAACAAAAAAAAAGTGGGAGTCTACTAAATATGTATTTACCTATTTCTGATAATAAGAATAGATTGAGAGACTATTATATATGTATTTAGTTATTTCTGGCAAGAAGAACAAGACTAATTTATGTAAGAGTAAAAGATATACTATAAGTCTATAACTCATAAATAATAATATATTATCCATGTATTCACCGTTTTTATATTTGAAAAATGTAAAATCATATCTTCTTAAATAAAGGCTTTAGAGAATTTGAGATTCTATCAAAATAACATATATAAATAGTAATTTCATCTCATAATTTCAAATTACGGTAACTAAAATTTTAGGTTTAGCAAACATAAAAATCATATTTGTATGTTATAACTATAGTTTGCATAATTGCGCTCCATAACATATTTGTATGTTATGTTTGCTACAGAGCATCAGATTTGTATAAATCGCTGGCAGACCTCTCGTTTGTATAAAAGTGCAGCGATTGTATATATGTATATCAGTTAGATAATTATATATATGTAATTATTATGTATATGTATTAATGATTCTTTATATATATATATATATAATTTGAATTTGTATATAATTGAATCAATAAAACATTTGTATATAAAATCTCTCTCTCGCTTTATACAACACAAATTATACATAGTAATTTGTATAATTTGTTTTTGTATAAAGCGAGAAAGAGAAAAGGCAAAAGAGAACTGGTAGGGGAAGATCTGTATTTGTATAATTATAAGTGTATACGACGAAAATATATGTATTTGTATATATAGTTTCTCTCGCTTTATACAAACACAAACACAATTTATGCATTTGTGTTTATATGAAGTGAGAGAGGCGAGGGAGAGTGGCGAGCGAGAGTGAAATTCGCTGGGGAGAGAGGCGAATGGCAAGTGTTCGCTACGAATTACAATTAAATGGAACTGTGGTTATAACATATAATTTGAATTAATAATTTGCTATTTTATATAATTTTCTCAATTAATAAGGAGACTTTCCAAATGGTTACTAAGTGAAATTTAATGACGAAAATACCCAACATCACATTTACACGATCTCTGGCCATGATTGCCGTCAGAACCTACCTTCGGCCACCAGGTAATGCTCTTTGCTATCTCTCCGACTCTATTTCTCTTTCTAATCTCACCCACGTATAAATTTGGTAACTTGTAAGTTATGTTCTATGCCATGAAACTAAAATTTGAATTTTTCTACTTATTTGTGGATTCTCTGAATACATTGTGGAATGTTGTTGAACTATAAGTCCAACAAATAATTGGGAGACTATTACTTGTGCTCATATTTTGAGCTGATTTTGACAATTATGAAGTAACAAGGTGAATTTTGGTAGTTTTTCTTTCCCATCTACGAGCAAAATTCCATCATTTTTTTTCTTTTCTCCCATTTATATGGGTTTCATAAGCTTTTCCGTTCTTTTTTTTTCTTCATATATTCACTTGTCCATTTTATGGCATTAAATTTGATATTTTAGTTGCACTCAAGAGTGTGGTTTAGTGATCATAGAAGTAGGGGAGTATGAAGAGGGCTCCAATTCAAATCCTAGTGAAAGCAAAAAAACACTAGGTGATTTTTTTTCATCTGACTAAGTGGGTACACCGTATACCTGAACTAGTGGGAGGTAGTGAGTTCCTAGTGAAATAGTAGAGGTGCACGTAAAATGGCCTAGGCACCTGGAAGATCTTTCACTTTTCTACTGTCACCAAGTACAAGTGTTTGCAACTTCCTTTTACATAGGGAGGAAAGTAAAGATGATTGTTACATTTTTCACCGATGGTATCAATAATAATACGATGGAGCCAAGACAAAGGTGAGAACAATGGGAGGTGACTCAAAACACAAATTTGGAGTGCGCAGGATGTTAGCATAGAAATGAGACTTCATACTCAAGTCATCCCCATGAGAGGATGTTTCAAGTATCTTAGGTCTTTAATTCAAGTTAATGGGGAGATTGACGATGATATCACAAATTGTATTAGGCGGGATGGGTGAAGTGAAGGCTCACCTCTGGAGTCTTGTGATAAAAACCACCACCTAAATGTAAAGGTAAGTTCTCCAGAGTGGTGGTTAGACTGACTATATTGTATGGAGTGGAATGTTGGTCAATCAAGAACTCTCATGTTTTGAAAATAAAAGTTGTGGAAATGGGGATGAATGTGTGCATACTAGAATAGATAAGATTAGGAATGAAGATATCCCCAACAAGATGGGAGTGCCCCTCATGGTGGACAAAATGAGAGAAGCAATATTGAGATGAACATGTAAATAGGAGAAACATAGATGTTCCAGTAAGGAGGTGTGAGAAGTTGTCAATGGTGGCCTGAAGGAGAGGTAGGCCAAAGAAGTACCAAGGGAGGGTGATTAGACAGGACACAATGCATTTTGGCTTACTGAGGACATGACTTAGAAATAAGGATTTTAAGGTCACCAATTACAGTAGAAGGTTAGTTGAGCATTCTCTCACTTTCCTGCAGGGCAGAATAGGTTGTTGTATTACATACTCTCTTACCAATTGTATTAACACTATTCACGTAGTTTCTTGTTTGTCGATTGTAGTTACCATCTGTGTTTCCTATGCTTTGCTTATCGCACTAGTTTGTTGTTAATTCTCTTCTGTATGCTATGTATTTCTTTCCATAGCGATCTATTTCGTTGTTACTACTTCTTTCATTTTCATATTCTCTTTCTTAAACTCTATTGAGATGTTTTACTTGAGCCGAGAATCTATCAGAAACAAGTTCTCTACGAGGTAGGGGTAAGGTTTGCGTACTCTACCCTCCCCTAAACTCACTTGTGGGATTACACTGGTATGTTGTTTGTTGTTAGTTTTGATAACAATAATTGCAACGGCAAACTGGATGATCACCTAGTTGATACTTCGGGTCATTGATTTTATGTATTGTACATTTGGATTGATTCTGAGAAGGAAAACAGATTTACCACATTTAATGTCTGAAAGACAGAAAAAAAAGGAAATAAAAGAGGAGAGACTTTACCGTTGCATAGTCATTTGTTTTCATTAAATATTTCATCATTAGCCAGAACATACTGTTGGACATCACTCTGTGACAGATTACTTGGTATCAGGTTTTGCATGTCAACTTATATTAATGAATGTTGAACTTTGTCCAGGAAACTAGGAGTGATCACGATGGGACTTCTCAGCATTATCCGAAAGATTAAGCGAAAAGAAAAGGAGATGCGCATCCTTATGGTGTAAGTCTACAAGCTAACCTCTAACATGTGGCATGGGGGATTTTTGTATACATAGTGTATTTATTGACTAGTTATTTAATTCTGTTTATTATATAGGGGTCTTGACAACTCTGGTAAGACAACAATAGTGTTAAAAATAAATGGTGAAGACACAAGTGTCATCAGTCCAACTCTTGGCTTCAACATCAAAACCATTACATATCAGAAGTATGGTTTCTCTGCTTTCTTTCTGTTTTGTTTCTCAGGTCTGCATTCTGTTATCCTGCTTCAATAATGTTTTGATTCATATTTATAGTTGTTACTCATTTAACTGTGACCTACATGTTCAAGATGTATTTTGTCAGGCAATATTTATGTGATTAGTTGAATCATTTAGATTATCTTATTCCCTAAAATTATAATTGGTTCATTTAAACATACTCTTGATTCTTACCTTTTGAATTACTTTCGAGGGCATTGGTTTATGATGTCAATTAATCAACTATATTTTTATCCTGAAACAGTTGGGATCAGCTATATGAATCCTCTGTGTACTCATTGATAGCCTTTTTTTTTACATTACATCAACCTACCACACCCTTTTTTTTATTCAAGCTTGGGCATGACTATGTTTTGCATAGCAAGTAGAGTTCTCAGTTTTATCCTGCCAGAGACATAAATTTTTTGGGGCTTCATTAGTGAAGTCCAGAGTCCAAATTAAAGCTCATTCTGCAGAGAACCAAAAAATACAACGCCAAAACTGTAATTCAAAATTCAGTTTCAGATTCGATTTTCTCTGAAATCATTGCATGTGAGACAACAAAAGAACTTAGGAAAAACTCAAAAAAGACTACTAAGGAAGTGATTGAGTTAAGACAAATACAGATTTGTAATTTGAAAAGAGATTTTGAATCTCTTAGGATGAAAGAATGAGACTATTACTTAGTGTAATAACAAGATTTTTTTTTAATCGTTAATAGAATCAGGTTGCTTGGCAAGGATTTCAAAGATGACAGAATAGTTGAAAAAAATTCTTGTGACAGTTTCAGAGATATTCGAATCTAAAATCTCCCGTCTAGAAGAGTCTAAAAATCTCTCTATTGTCTCTGTTGAACTACTGTTTTTGTTAAAGAATTGGTAAGTGTTCTTCAAGCACAAAGAAGAGCCTTTATAATTTATATAAGACAATGCAACTGTGTGTGCTTTTATAAACAAAAGAGAAAAGGTTAATTATCCTTTTTACGGATACTTCAAAAAGAAAACACACACCTAGAACAAAAATTATTGGTGGAGACCTCAATATGTGGAAATTTCAAACAAACAAACCATATTATGAAAGTTGCAAGTTCAAAGATGTTCAAAACAATCCTCCATCACAAACAACAAAAGCATAAGTTGAGGAGGATCAACTTTTCAGATTGCAGTAATTGAAGCAAAGGAAGAGTGTTGAATATTTGCTTTTGTTAGTGTTGATTTACTAGAATAATTAGTTTAGTTGTAGGAGAAGTCTTTGTTCTAATTTAAAATTTTAGGTTTAGTTAGATAAGTCTAAGTGATATATTTGAGGTTTTTAAAATTTTATTCTACAGAATTTTGCACATTTTTTGTTTTTTAATTGACTATTTAACTCTCTATACTTAATAAAACTTCAGAGACAATTTCAATCAGTTCTAATAATTTTGCTGCTCCATCCATTTAAAAACACAACAGAAACAGAGTTATGTCAGCATGTATGTCTTTGAAATTACTATCTGGTGTGTTTAAATCATTTTAGTAGTTTAAATTCCTTCTAACTGATCCTTGTTAGAATTGAGATTCTTTTGCTGAAATTTCAAAATAGCTGATTTCAAGTTAACCTGACATGCTGCAGGTATACCCTCAATATATGGGATGTTGGGGGGCAGAAAACAATACGGTCTTATTGGAGAAACTATTTTGAGCAAACTGATGGCTTGGTGTGGGTTGTGGATAGTTCTGATCTGAGAAGGCTAGATGACTGCAGATACGAGCTACATAATCTTCTGAAGGAGGAGGTATATGTCATATTGGTTCTCTTTTCTGTTGTTGAACCTCATTTATTCCCTTGTGCAAAAACTCCAATAACATATGGATTTTTAGGGTGGTTTACTGATCCAATTCCCCTTTTTCTCTTCTACTAACCACTGTCGTACGAGTGTATCTAGGGGTGTGAGTCCTTCATAAGTTGTGCCAAGTAAAGGGTACAACTTGTTTGAACTTTTCTTGCTTCTATATAGTTGCATTATCATTTTTAAGACATGCAGATTTATGATTTTGGTTCTTACGATGTTTGTAGGCAGCAAACCATTGAATTTGCACTTCTCCATTGGTTTATTAACCTAGTGAGATATTTTGATTCCCGAGTTGTTTTACATTGCATCTTGTTTTAGGAGACAGATGTTCTTGCTTCTTCATGTATTATTGGATGGAGTTTTTTTTTCTTTTTGATAAGGGCGACGGTGATGTGATAAGTGTCATTCAGGAAGACGTGTGTCCCCACCCTTACAAAAAAAAACTACATCCCCTAATACATGAAGAAGCAAGAGCATGTGTTCCCTAAACAAGATGTTGAATTTAATTCATAGCTGATACTGTAATACATAGGGGATGGATTTGTTGGAACTACTTGTTCCTATTTAGCATTGTCTTAAAAGGTCTCTCCCAAATGCATCACCAACTCTAACAACTGACAATTGAGCAGTGTACAATCTACATCGTGCATGCTTTGGTTTGGTGTTACCTGCTCCATACTGTTTTAAGTGCAACATAATGGTCAAGAAACTAGGGAATAAGTTTCAGTTATGGCACAGCATGCGTGCATACTTTTTATACTGTATACCTATGCTTGTCCCTCCATTTCAGTTTGTGTGGCATAGTTTGACTGGGCAATGAGGTCAAGAAAGAAAAAAAAACATTTAAAACTTATGGTTTAATCTTGTCATGGCATTTGTGTGTTTATAAGACTTTTGAAACATGTGTGGCTATAAAAGCTTTTCATTAAGGGTTGGGAAGTTTAAGTTAAATTGTTTCCAAATTTAGAAAGTTGTCATTCTTTTTGTAACAGACTAATAAGGAAATATTGCCATGTAAATTGGAACGGAGGGATTATTTCCAGTGGTCTAAATGCAAAATAGTGAGTCAAAAGCAAGGGGATGAGTTTTCAGTAAATTCACATGTCAAAGCGCATCCAATCTCAGACTTCGTCGTGGAAATGCTGCCAGCTTCTGCTTATTATGACACTTGTTTGAATATTTTGTTATGTTCAAGTTAATTAGCGTTTGCAATCATTTACATGTCATTTTTTGGTGACATTCCTTTTGCTGCATTTTCCTCCACAGTGGAGGCTTTAAGTAACGAATGCTATAACTTTGTTTGATGCAAGTTGCACCACATGTTATAGCTTCCTTCCACCCTCAGCCAAAATCATCATACTATTAATAATCTCAATTAAGATTTTTTTCTGGAAACTTATTTGTGTGGTGGCTATGAATATAATAAATTGTGTACAGAACCTATTTAGTGATTTTCTAACAGAACTGCCTATGCACATTTACTAGCTCTATTCATCTTGTTACATGTTTCATAATGTGGTGCCATTAGAATTTTACAAGTAGTTGCCTAACTGTCCACCCTCAGATCATCATGTTACTAAGTGCACCATAGAGGCATAAACCTTGTTGTTGAATGTGTTTATTAGGCGCTTCAAAAAGTCTTCTTTTGTGTATCTGTAACATCCTATGTGTCCCAAAAAAAGAACGTGCAAATCCCTTTTTATTAGATGAGAATAGGATGACAGATCTTGCTATCATTAAAATTTAGTGAAGGTGCATAGCTTCTTTGAATGTCCTATGGATTGACTATATCATCTAGGGACATGACTCATCCCAAAAGAGAGGTCTTTCTTTATTGTTATAAAATCCGTTTGATTGAAAAGAAAGTGTATGATGCCATAAGTAAAATGGGCGGGTGAGGCGAGACTCCTTCACTGCACTCAAGGTAGAAAGAGTAACATATCCTATACATTAGTAAGCTCTTACTCCATTATTAGTAAGCTAAGTGTTGGTTGGCTTATTCATGAAAGAACTTCCACATGTGCATCGGGGCCCTCTCATTAATAGCGTCTCTTTTTGATTGACCTCCTCCTTTCTTTAATTAGCAGGCACAAAGGTCAAATTTCGTTATTGAATGAATCCATTGTTGTTGTCATTTTAGTTAGTTTACCACATTATTTTCGATTTCTTTTTGTTCTTAACAAGTTATTCAAGCACTTCAGTAAGTGATACCAGGAGTACTCTTTTTTTTTTCATTTTTATTCATTCAATACCAGGAGTACTCTGCAACTTGATTATTGCTGAAAATATTCTCTCTGATTATTCTTCATAAAGACAACAGTTCATTTCTGGTGAGGCTTGGTATGACTGGTAACAATGTAGAGCAACAAAGAGGGAACCTACAATGTCAATCATTGAAAATGATTTTTACTTGGTGCTATATGTTCTGTGCAGAGGCTATCAGGAGCATCATTATTGATTTTTGCAAATAAGCAGGACATACAAGGTGCTCTTTCTCCAGATGAAATAGCCAAAGTAAGGATGCTTCTTGTTATACCTTAAACTGTGTCGAATGAATATTGAAGTGAAGTTCTTACACTTGGAACTAGTAAGGTTGCAATCTATGATACCCTTAACAATTATGTCAAAGGTTAAGCAGGAACTGTTGTTTCGTTCAAAAATCTGAAGATCCAATTATGCAAACCAAAAAACTGAGAGATCACGAGAGAAGCTTCTTTCTAGTGGTGGTTGAGAAAGTACTAGGCATAAATGCGCCCTTTAACTTGGCTTTAGCTGGCATGTATGCCCTCCAACTTTGGGTGTATACAAGTAGACACTTAAATTTGTATACAATTGAACAAGTAGACACACGCATCTTACATGGCATAATACACGTAGGATACCACGTAGGACGCAAAATTGTCATATAGTAGGATGCATATGGCTATTTGTTCAACTTTATACAAGTTGAAGTATCTACTTGTGCACCCCCAAAGTTGGAGGGCATAGTTGTCACCTAAGGCTAAGTTAATGGACATGCTTACGTATTATGCCAAAGTATTATGTAGTAGTTTCCAAGTTACTTCAATTGACTAGTAACCTATTTCTACACAGATCTGCTTCTTTTTTTCTTGCTTCCTTCTTTTATGTATGGTCAATTATTCATGAACTTGACATTCACAGAGAGGGGTCACAACTTTTTTCTTCTGATTCAGGTGCTTAATCTGGAGGCTATGGACAATAGCAGGCACTGGAGAATCGTAGGATGTAGTGCATACACAGGAGACGGGCTACTTGAGGGATTTGATTGGCTGGTACAAGACGTTGCATCACGAATCTATATGCTTGATTAAGCGAAGTTTACATTAAGATTTTGATTCCTGCAAGATGACATTGTTAAAATCTTTTGGATATACAACATTTGTGCATGTAAAGATAAAGAAAATTATGTAAGGAGCACTTTACTAGCTACTGCTCAAAATGACCATTTGTGAGGAAATTCTTTTAAGACCTTTCCCAATATGCCAGTCTTTTGTTGTAATTGTAGCAGATTGCACAAAAAAGTGACCGTCCTTAACCAAATAAATTCACAAATTAATAATTTTTATAATATATGAGGATTTTGGATGAGGTAGTTAGAGGTATACTGATAACTGAGAAAATTGTCATTGGTGGAGATTTTAATGGCCATATCGGGGCAACTTCTAATGGCTTTGATGATGTTCATGGAGACTTTGGTTTTGGGGAGAGAAATGGGGGTGGAACTGCGCTTCTGGATTTTGCTAAGGCTTTTGAGTTGGTGATTGCTAACTCATGCTTTCCGAAGAAGGAGAACCACATGGTTACCTTTCGTAGCTCGGTAGCTAAGACTCAGATAGACTACCTACTCCTTAGGAAGGGTGATAGAGGCCTCGTTAAGGACTGCAAGGTTATCCCAAGTGAAAATGTTACTACCCAACACAAGCTTTTGGTGATGGACCTGAAAATTAGGAGGGATAAGAGGAAGAAGATTGTATCTGATCGACCGAGGATTAAATGGGGTGGCTTGACCCCTGACCTTTCTCGGGAGATGGGTGAGAAGTTGAGTGGGATGGGGGCTTGGAGTGGTAGCGGGGATGCGGACACCATGTGGAATAAAGCAGCTAGTTGCATTAGGGAAGTTGCTTCAAAGGTGTTGGGGGTATCAAGGGGTAAATTTGGAGGTCGTAAAGGAGATTGGTGGTGGAATGGGGAAGTCCAAGGCAAAGTGGAAGCGAAGAAGGCTGCATACACAAAGTTGGTGGAGTGCATAGACGAGGAAGAGAAGCGGTCGCTTAAGAAAGTCTATAAGACAGTGAAGACAGAAGCTAAGTTAGCAGTTACGAAGGCTAAGACGGCAGCTTTTGAGCGCTTGTATGTCGAACTGGGGGACAAAGGTGGGGATAAGAAATTGTATAGGCTCGCAAAAGCAAGAGAGAGGAAGGCACGCGACTTGGACCAAGTAAAGTGTATCAAGGATGAGGAAGGCAAAGTATTGGTGGATGAGACCTCCATTAAGTAGAAATGGCGAAGATACTTTCACAAACTTCTAAATGAAAAAGGGGGCGGAGACATTGTGTTGGGTGATTTGGCACACTCGGAAAGACTTCGGGACTTTGGGTACTGCAGGTGTTTTAGGAGCGAGGAGGTTATACGTGCTATTAGTAGGATGAGCAGGGGAAGAGCGACCGGACCCGATGAGATTCCGGTGGATTTTTGGAAGAGCACGGACAAGGCAGGTATAGAGTGATTGACTGGGTTGTTTAATGTTATTTTTAAGACAGCAAAGATGCCTGATGAATGGAGGTGGAGTACAATGGTTCCGTTGTATAAAAATAAGGGTGATATCCAGAACTGTAACAACTACAGGGGTATCAAATTGCTAAGCCATACTATGAAGATTTGGGAGAGAGTGGTGGAGATAAGGGTGAGAAGAGGGGTGTCCATTTCTGAGAATCAGTTTGGATTCATGCCGAGACGGTCGACGATCGAAGCCATTCATCTTATGCGAAGACTGGTAGAAAAATATAGAGAAAGGAAGAGAGACCTACATATGGTGTTCATTGACCTTGAAAAGGCCTATGACAAAGTACCGAGGAATGTCCTCTGGAGGTGCTTGGAGGCTAAAGGTGTCTCGATGATTTATATTAGGGCGATAAAGGACATGTACGGTGGAGCCAAGACTCGGGTTAGAACGGTCGGAAGTGACTCGGAACATTTCCCAGTTGAGATGGGGTTGCACCAAGGATCAGTCCTTAGCCCTTTTCTATTTGCTTTAGTGATGGATGAGTTGACGCGGTCTATTCAGGAGGAGGTCCCATGGTGTATGTTATTTGCGGATAACATAGTACTGATTGATGAGACGCGGGACAGAGTTAATGCGAGGTTGGAGGTGTGGAGACAAACGCTCGAGTCCAAAGGGTTTAAGTTGAGTAGGACCAAAACAGAATATTTTGGGTGCAAATTCAGTGATGCGTTGGATGAGGCAGATGTAGAAGTGAGACTTGCCACACAGATCATTCCTAAGAAAGAAAGTTTTAAGTATCTTGGGTCTGTAATACAAGGAAGTGGCGACATCGATGATGATGTCACACATCGCATTGGGGTTGCTTGGATGAAATGGAGGCTTGCCTCTGGAGTCTTGTGTGATAAGAAAATTCCACCTAGACTTAAAGGTAAGTTCTACAGAGTGGTAGTTAGACCGGCCTTGTTGTATGGAGCGGAGTGTTGGCCAGTCAAGAACTCACATGTTCAGAAAATGCAGGTTGCGGAGATGAGGATGTTGAGATGGATGTGTGGGCACACTAGGAGTGATAAGATTAGGAATGAAGTTATCCGGGAGAAGGTGGGAGTGGCCTCTGTGGTGGACAAGCTAAGGGAAGCGAGACTGAGATGGTTTGGTCATGTGAAGAGACGGTGCGCAGACGCCCCAGTGAGGAGGTGTGAGGGGTTGGTTGTAGAGGGTACGCGGAGGGGTAGAGGTAGGCCTAAGAAGTATTGGGGAGAGGTGATTAGACAGGACTTGGCTCAGCTTCACATTACCGAAGACATGACTCTAGATAGGAAGGAGTGGAGGTCGCGTATTAAGGTTGAAGGTTAGTAGGGCTAGCGTGTTGTCTCTCCTTGCAAGGGTAGGGGTTGTTAGCGTGTGTAGTAGTCCTAGTCTTGCACTTGCAGTTCTTGTCTGTGATATCGATAGCCTTATATTGTTTAATGTGTTTCACTTCTCTTTTTGTTTATTGATGTTACTGTCTTCCTTTGTTGATTGTATACTATCTGTCGTATTGGATGGTATGTATATACACTGTTTTCCTCGCCTTTTACTTGGATTTGATGTACCTGAGCTGAGGGTCTTTCGGAAACAGCCTCTCTACCTCGCACGAGGTAGTGGCAAGGTCTGCGTACACTCTACCCTCCCCAGACCCCACCTAGTGGGATTTCACTGGGTATGTTGTTGTTGTTGTTGTATAATATATGAGGATTGTTCTTGCCATGTACTTGGGGTCTCGTAGGTTAACGGAATTAAGTGGAATTAATAGTCATGCACCACCACCCATAGAATCAAGAAAGAACTCTCAGTCTATCAATCTTACATGTTTGGATCTGGTAACTTTTCCCATGTTGAGTCAAATTAAGCCGCAGGGATGGTGCCCTTCCGTCAATTCTTTTAAGTTTCAGCCTTGCGACCATATCCTTGATTAGATAAAAGAAAAAAGTACAACATCTCAAAAGAAAAAAGAGAAGAAACAATCATTGTGACACATTCACTAAAGAAAGGTCCTTTAATCCTTAACCAATACAATTTATTGATGTAATGCTTCTCCAGCGTCCAATTTAATATACACAAAGTCAATGTGGAAAATGAAATAATAGGAAGCGCCCAAAGGTACAAAAATACAAATAATCTGAAAAGAATAGATGGGAAAAAATGAGATATCGTGGAGCTATAACTATGAACGTTTACTCGTTTAGCTAACTGAAAGTGTTGCTGATCACGCGTGCAGAGTCACTTGCATCACATATCAATACAGCCGATCCTTGGTTAGGATGACTTGCCAACTCGGGCTGGAGCTTACTGTACTCGTTCACGACAAAAGTTGCAGCTTCTTCTGCTTTATCTGCTTCTACAAATGCAATGCAGCAGCCTCGGAATCCTGCACCACTGAACCGTGTCCCAAGTACACCAGGAGCCTTCAGAAGAACCTGATATAGCTGTACAAGTGGTTCACAACCTAAAATAATTCAAGTGAAGTTCAAGATTTGGTTATTCTTTGTGCCTCAGACATACATTATTGAGAAAGTTACATATCGAAAACAATGAAATTAAGATATCAAGTAAGAAAATTAGCACTTACCACACTCATAGTTTTGAATAGAACTTAGACCAGATGCTGTAATAAGCTCTCCGAATTCTTTAAGGTTTCCAGAAGCCCAAGCCTCAAGTCCTAAAACAGACCACACATGAGTTATGAATGGACTGTCCTAAAGCTAAACATAAAAATAAAAGGAGTAAAGGTCTGTAAAGAATAATACCTTTCATAACTCTCTCATTTTCAGAGAAATAATGCTTTGCTCGTTTAGCTAGGTTGACTTCTAATTTACTCTGAAAAGAAAATTCCAAAAACATGGTATAAATACAATCAATCCATATAAAGGCGAAGAAGATTTTCACATATAGATGTCGCAAACGACCTTTGTATAATGATGGTTGAGTAATTAAACATCCAATATATACTTGCGGATTTTTACCTTGTGGGCTTCAAAAACTTCTGGTTTAACTGCATAAACAATAGAAATGTTATCAACATCATCATTAAAGCTGCATCACTATTTCAATGACAAACGCAGGCCGAGTACCCTACCATTTGATAGAACAGGTTCCATCTCTTCATCCCCCGAAGCTCTAGAAGAAGAAAAAAAATACCCGTAAGTCCCGGAAATGAGAGCTGTGATATAAATCAATTAGATCTCATCAAAACTTCATCATACTTGTATTGCATTCCGAAAAAATCAATAAGATTTTATTTGTCTTTCGAATGCTTCACACTTTCAGGAAAGTCCAGAAGAAGGCTTGAAGTTCAATCATTAAAGAATGTTCATTCTTTTGGTACATTTCCTTCAGGATTAAAATATAACGTATTTGTCTTAATGGAGAGTAGTGGCCTACATCTAGGATTTACCGTTCCAAGTCTTAGTATTCAATCAATAAACGGCCATGCATTCCATGACCATAACTTGAAAAAAGAAGAATGTCATTCCAGGATGCAAGCTTCAATAATGTATGAAAATATCTTACTGCAACAGAATTTTTGCAGCCTCTTGACACTCCGCAACTCGCCGATTATATCCGGGATTTGTTGTCAATGCCTGTTTAAGACCTGAAAAGGCCAGCAATATCTTGTATGCATTACCCAACTCTCCTTCATGATTATTTTGCACCGTTGGCGGGTGTATCAGTTTGTGTTTTATGGTCTGCACATGTGGTCTATAATTGTCAGAGTTTTCCAGAGAACACAAAATCTGTATCAGAAGAAAACAACAAAAGGTGCCATAATTTAAAACTGAAATTGTAACAAGAGAAAAGTTGGAGCAAA